CCACTGGTTGGGATCTCTCACCGTTGCAAATAGGCATCACCCGTGCCTCAGAATTGATCCCTTTCGAAGGAGTATTTTTTTTGGTCGCTGACGTGGATCTGTGTCATCAAGTGTCGCATATGTCGAATTAGTTCAGATGGGAAGCAATGATTTATTTCTATACCAAAAGGTGGTGTCGAAGTCGAGCCTCGTTTGAGGTGGTTATTGGTGTGAGAACAGAAGTCTTCAAAAGTTCATAGGGGTATTTTGGGAGGCATTGGATCAAACAGGTCGTTAACTGAAATATGCAACATGTCAATGGCAGTGCGACATCATGTGATTACACAGATAACTGGGAGGCAATCTCTGGTTGCGTAAATAAGGAACAATTTGCAAGATCCAAGCTTGGGCTTTGGAACCTCCTGGGGGAAATCTGGCTAAGTTGGTGTTTTCCGAGTGGAAGTCTACAACCACAGGAGTGCCAATCGTTAAGGCAAGAGAGGGTTGTGTAAATTTTCAACGGAATCACGAATCGACAAGGTCACCAGATGTGGCAGTTTGCGTCACATTTCTATTAGTTAACAGGCTGCGACAACCCGAGAATAGAGACATTACAGGCGACAGCGGAAACGACAGTTAATTAGCTTGAGGTCAGCCAAGGGCGCCTGTGTGTGAGCGTGCTAACCGGCGCGTGAAAGCAGCAACCAATAAAACATTGAGTGATTCATTGACAATAATGGGTCTGTAAACTGTTTCCACTCCCTCGCTGATGGTCCACCACGGGAATATGCATGTAGACCCGATACGATTCTGTACAATGAGTTATTTTGATTTTCGAAAAGGTGTATCTCCAGAGCAAACAAGATCTGATGCAAGCAGTCATTTGCTTGTTGAACGAGTTCATTCTCTGCCCACACTACCAATTTAATAATTATTGTTGTTGCTGTTGTTCTCATTATTATTATTATTGTCAGCATTATTAATTTGTACCGCTTCACATTGAAAGTAACTAGAAAATTAGATATTTCTTTTTTCGACGATAAAAACGCAAGTTTTCTTTTCGTGTTCATAAATCCCTATATCCACCCTACTTTCTGTTCGGCGGCTGCATTCACTAAGAGCCCTCGATTCGTTTGACTTGCGGCGCCGCTTCACGATGGGCTGAGGGCGCCTAGAAAAGCGTAATTATTTCATGAACCCCCACTCAGCTACACAAATTAAATTCCCCATTCAATTTAATGTGATCGGTTGTGGCGAGCACAGTTATCAATCAAGCGATTTTCGTGAATTCATTTCAGGCAACTCTGCTCGCTCAAGGATCGAGGCTTGAGCGAATCTATATTAACGCACTTGTTACTCTGTACTCGCACACACTCCACTACTGCTTTAATAAATTGGTTGAGCTACTCGTCGTCTGCAGTTCTTCTTTCGGTCGGGCTTTGTCGGCCCTGGTGTGGTTCCGCAAAACCGCACCGGGGCCCACTACACGGTAAGCTAAACTTGCGAAATCGTATTTTCTAAAGGACGAAAGAATTCTTGCCATTCACGGTGATGCTTCTGTGGCGAGTTTTGTGGATTCACGATGGTCACCACAGTTCACGCACGAATGCCTCACATGTTTACTCAACCTCGAAGACTCGCCGCTGAGCCTCTTGAGCCCACCTCTGTTAAACTATAGTGCTTATCCTGGACTATCCCTGCCTGTGTAAAAAACTGCACATGTCCCATTTGTTAACTTAACTCTGATCTGAAATACATATACACAAGAACAAAACATAACCCACGATATTTGTTTCATTTGTTCCACATAGAGTTTAGCTTTCGTCATTAGTCTGTTGTGGGCCCCAGCATGTGATCTTGAACCACGCCGGGGCCATGGAACTAACCCTGGTCCGAATACGTTTCCCTGATACCCGCGATGAAGAAAAAGATCGCAGAGGACGTGGCCACAATCGTTTACCTCGGATGTGTGAGTCATGCATGCGCTAACATCGAGACCTCTGTGTGAGGATAATCCAGGATTAATATCCATGTGAATGAGGGGGGGTTGAGGATCCGCGCGGCTGGCGACATGCTGTGAAAAAAGGAATCTTGTGTCGGAGGGAGGAGTGACCGGATTAAGGGGTGTAAATAAACATGATTCACAACAAGGCCCTCGTTCTTATCTGACACTTTGTCTCGTATCATGCTGCGACAAATTAGTAACCCCGAAGTGGACCATCATCAACAAACTTTATTTGCACTGGAGTCTGAACGACGCCGATTAATGGTTTTCAGGAATAGAAGCAAATTTTATAGAACTACTATTGTCTTTCACCATATGTCTTATTCTTATCCGATCAGCGCACTAACTTGTGATCTGGCCAGCTAGGTATTGGAAGTCCAGCTTCATCCCAACAACGAATATTTATATCATAAGTAAATATCAGTGGTTCTAAAACATAGTTGTGGTCCCCAGCATATGGTCTTGAACCACACCGGGACCACGGAATTAACCCTGGCCCTATTACATTTCTACAGTACCCGCGATGAAGAAAAAAGGGTGGAGAGGACGTGGACACAACCGTTTACTTTAGAGCTCAATCTCGTTGGTGTCGTTGAGTCGTGTGTGGGGTGAGTCATACATGCGCTAACATTGAGACCAAGATAAATATTCGTGTTATTGAAGGAGGAGCTGAGGATTCGTGCGGCTGGCGACGTGCTGTGAAAAGGGGAACCCTGTGTAGGGGGTGTAGCGACCGGATTAAGGGGTTGACTAAACACGATTCACGACAACATATTCAACTAACTACCTTAGAAAGCGTCGGAAAAGTCCTGGTCGAGGCCGATTTCGCGAAAAATGCGTTAACCCCCTGGCGATAGCCACTGGAATATTTTTTATTTATCAAACGACCTAATGGTCAAATTAAATCAATTCGTACTTCCAAGTTCAAATTTTCAACCCTTGAAATGATGGCGGATGCAATGGGAAGCAAGCGAATCAGCCCGCATGTTGGAGGTTAAACCGGGGCTCGAAAGTCAATCAAATTCTCCCTACAATGCCATTTAAGCCAAATACAATCAACAATAACTCTGACAATTAACTGATTTGCGTTAGACAGCTCGCAGTCCTGCCGTAGGTCCTTCTCATGTCCCAAGTTTCATGGCCTAGGCTAGTATCATTAAACCTTCTCGAAGGAGGTCCACTAGTGTAAGCTCTGTGTATGTGTGCAGGTTCAAATTCAAACAAACGATCGGGAAACGTGAATGCCCGAAAGTTATGGTGCATGTTGTAAACAATCCCTCGAGCCATCACCTATTTCCTCTAGACGCCTCAACTGGAATGTGATTCCTGATCGACTCAGACGCCGAGATTTAATTTACTTCACTACCACCCTTAACGTAAGACGTAAAACTCCCGACGATTGACTTCGGATTACGTCATCAGTTTCATTGGATATTCACTGTCGTAGCACTAAAAAATCGTTTATTGGAGCAGATCTACAGAAACAAGTCAGTCCATATGTCGACATCAAAACGGGTCTATAATTTGCCGCCCAAAGAAACTGCGTGAAATGTAGAAGCTTTATGGTGCAACTTCCGAGACCTTCTTAACTGTTGGGTAGGAGTAGAGGGGAGCCACAAAAAGAGGCACTAAGACTATGGGAGAGGCATGAGCATTGACCAATGGGAAGCAAATTGGTGGCTGTCTCTCATGACGATTTCCAAGTACATGGATGCCTCTTGTGAGTCACTCTACACCACGTTGACCTACTGGAAATGTTGGCTGTTGCCGTTGCTGGCCATGAGAATATTATAGCTATTGACAATGACTAAATCATCATGGCGCATGATTTCTTCTCCGAATCCTTGATAGGTCCGGATATCTTTACGAAAATCACGTAGCATTCGAATGGAGTAATAACAAGATCCTTGGGGTACGTTAGTTGCGGTAACAGGTAGCTGATGGTTGGGTCAGACAAGGTCCAGTAGTGAAAAGGCATTAACATGGCATAAAGTCAATGAGCAGTCTTGAATGTGTAGAATGGGGTACCGATAAGGAGTTGTGGCATTATACATGGTTCTACAATCGTCACAGTCCCCCCGGTTCTTAGGTAACACGTTCTATGTGGCCGCTCCGGTGTTGTGGGAACGATGAATTATGTCAAGGCGGAAAATTTGCTCAAATTACGAGTCATCTAGCTTTGACAGTTGTTGGAGAATGTTGCATCATGAAGTGTAGTCTCACTTCGCATGCATGTTCACTGTATGTCCAAACCACACTGGCGATTTCGGGAACACGATTTAAGAGCGAAGTGAGGTTGCAATTGTTTGCTCACATGTGGTTCCACTTATTATTTTGCCTGTAACCCAGCCAGACCTCTTCTTGACGAACATCTGCTACCTAAATTAATCTGCAGCGTTATTTGGCAAAGAACCGATCTCCAACAAAATATGTTCCCATATACTTGGGAACCGTTATGACAAACAATATCTTGCTGTTGCGTGGTCGCTCCTCCGAAAGGGGTCAACTCTCAGGGAACTTCAAGACACCAAACAACAAACTTATGAAGACCAAAATTACCATAAGGGCTGTCTCGCTTGAGTGATGCCTATTTGCGACTGTGATAGATCCCAACGAGAGATATTTGCATAATCCAATCTGCAAACGACCACTCAGTACCTCCGCGCTCCATCGGGCCATTTCAATATCCTCAACCTCCGGACCCGAAGACTACTCAGAACCTAGTCTACCTACAAATGACTGAGCACTCACCACGGACAATCTCCGTTCTCCCAACAACGACCACTCAAACACCGCGCGCCTGTTGGACAACGACACAAAGATACCCCCAACCCACACTACTACCACTTATTTACACCAACCTCTCCCACGCATTAACCTCCAGGTAATTAAAAAGAGCGCATTCTGCTTTAACAAGTGCCTTCTGTTCACCGATAAACAAATGAAGGCATGCAACACACAAAACCGAAACAGCATTAGGTAAGCAAACGCGGGAATAGCAGCCACTGTTTTTGGCTTAAGGCCTGCAGCGGCCCGTATAACGCGGATACAAACAGACGTCACGAATGTGGTGTTGACCCAGAAGCCACGTGCAGAACCGCTCAAAGCCCAGACCGTAGCCGCCGTGAGAGCACGTACCGAACTCACGCTGAAAACAAAGTGCACATAAATTAGATATTATAAGGAAACTAACAACGCATGGTTCTTGCCTTTAATATGATGCCAACGACACTAGAGCCTCGGTTCTGTGCTCTAGCTACACACAAGTCTGCTACTATGATCGAAACCAAACAGTGCACAACTTTGGCGCAGATTGACGCTATCCTACTGGGTCGGTGGATAGAGAAGATGCTGTCGCTCGAAACACCGTGGACCATCACCCAAGGTAACACCCTTCGACTTACCTGTTGCGTATACCAGTAGTACGGAGTTGGGTCAATGCCCTCGCGCTTGTAACCGGCCATGAGATCATTGTAGTCTGTCATCCTCATTGAACCACCCACGACTTCACCGACGCCAGGAATCAGCAAATCAACCTAAAATACAACGCCACGAACCTGAGTATGGTTGTCATCATTACGCAAACCGGCACTTCCACTCAGATCCAAACAACGCAATGACTAAGCGCACTGTTAACTACGAGTAACCCTACCGTGGAAACATCTCTCAACCATTATTCCCTACCTCCGCGTAACCAATTAACTAGTGTAAAAAAAATAAAGCGCTACTGGCAGTAAGTTAGTGATGTCTGCGCAAGGTTGTGACGATGACTATCTCAGTCATGTCAGCAACTTATGTCCACAAACAACTCAGCACCCTAACAATCAACGAAAATGGCATGACTTCACTGCCACAACACAAAACCAACCCACTCCAGGTACGAACTATTGCACTCTTAGGAACAGTCTACTGAGTTGACCATCACCTCAGAGCCTGGTCCCGCCACATTCTACAGAAACACTCTTGTGCTAGGAAGTTCCCACTACAACCCCGAAAACCAATCACCTACTACTTGGCAGACCTCACCTATGACATGCTTTTAACAAGTTTTCTGTATGAAGCCTCCTCATACAATTTACTGCAAATCGCTCTCAGAAACCTCTGCAAAACTCGTCGGTACATTCGCTTTGGGAATTTCGACGCCGCAGCGTCGAGGAAACTACCGCTAGAATCTCCACCGCACAAACAATAACATCTCATGACTTACGGATTCAGTAACGGCAGGGTCTTCTTTGACACGCTGCATGTAAAACGACTTCAGTTCGGTGGGAAACTTGGTGAGGAGAATGGGGCGATTGATTTTATCAGTGAGTTGGCGCTCCGGTGCCTCAGGTATGTCATCGCCAAACTCGAATGGTTTGCCATCCTCCTTATGGATACCCATCCTATTCAGTCGATTAATCGCATCTCGATACTCCATCCGCATGAAGGGTTTAGTCGGTGCTTTGAACTCCTGCATGAAAAGGATGGAGGATGACACAGCAGTACTGAATACATAAGGTGAAAGCGCCACACTGGGCTTAACATTTACACAAAAAATGGCATCATGACTTAACTACCGGTCTACACTCTGCATGTTGCTGCACTTAGGCAACTCTATCAGCTCTAGGTAATATTTACCACCAGATGCTACAAGACACTCGTCAATGGACTCCGCGCTTTGGGTCTCTTTTTTGCCACCTGCTTCTTACATTCATTCGTGATCACAGGTCGTGAGGACAAGAGGGGAATTCACGAAAACCTGTCTCATGGCCATAATCGATGCCTTCACCTTCAATCGACAAGTAGTCGCCAGATTTCACCAGTACCTCACAATCTGTCAACAAAGGCTAACCATAAGCACCATGCCAAAACCCTTTGTCTCTGTGACAAACTTACTGGATTAACCTGTAGAACCAAATCACCGGCTTTCTTCATGACACGTTCACTGACGTCCACAACGAGATCCTCGATTTGGTTAAGTAGGTCAGGAAAGTCGATAAACGGTGACTCGGCCTCTATGTGAATGTACTCGGACAGGTGGCGACGAGTACGACTCTAGAAATGAAAAGCTTATCGCATCATCTGAAGATACATCCGGTTAAAACCCACTCTGACCTCGAACCCACGTTGACGTCAACAATCTGCGTGGGCACTGCGCGACTAAGGAAGTCAGGGAGAAAACTGACGTCGGTAAAGGCTCGACGTTTATCCACCTACAAGCATCTGTCGTTGTTTGTGCGACAATGCATCTTTACGTAACCTGAGACTGACAGCCATACCAGTGAAGGAAAGCCAATACTTGAACGGTTGCACTGAAATGAGACATTCGAACGGGTTCGACCATGTATTTGCCTACGCAAACACGTCCTCAGACAAGCACTTTGCAAACAAGTCGATGGCCACGACAACATACCTCTAAGCATTCCGTGGACTGTTTGCTTCGAGTTCAAACTACTGCCTAACTTGGGTCTCGTTGCTCCGGTGGTGCACAATCCGACCCCCACCATCCCCATACTGTGCACCTAACTTTTGAAGCAAACACACTGCCTATCGACAGAACACCTCTGTACTTCAACCCAGTTGCAAATTTACGGTCCCCTAATTCTCGGCGCCTATCCGACAGTCAATACCCGCAACACTCGCCTCAAGCCGTTGTCAGCGACTTACTCTTTTACAAACACTACAAAAGCGCAACGGTATCTCCACAACGGGTTTGAAACAATACATGCCATTATCGCCAACCAAATATACGGTAGTGCACAAGTCACACGACAGCTCGCAATGTCATGCAAACCAACAATAACTCATGACAAACACACTTCGGCACGACTTCCACTCTAAAATAACACATACTTCTATAGAGGAACCCAGAGTCTATCAAGTGTATGGGTCTTGGAGGCTGCTTACCCTTCAGATGGTAGACAGAACTATGAGACACAAGAGATTCATTTAGCTTGCTTTCTGCTAACCAATCGCTTTTAACGTCTGGTCGGTTTGCAAGCACTCCCTTCAAAGCACACCTTGTAGGTAGTTTCAAATATTAAAAAACTACGCACTACTGTTGCTTGCTTTCATACAGAAAGTCACTGACTAACTGTTTGGTAAGCAAGCTTCAACAACGTGGCTTTTAGTCAAACTACTACACGACTGCATACAAGGCACGGAACATCACATGGCGATTCACTAACTAACCTCCTAATTAAACAACCCGTGACGAGCTCAGACACCGCTTCTAAACGACTCCAACGAATTAAAAGGACTCCACAACACGCTGAGCTTTGGGCCTATCATGCTCACACACACACACACGCACACACATACACACCTTCTCAGCGCGGTAACTGCGAACCATGCAGTAGCAGTCACCGACTGCCGGAATGCAGGTCTCAAGGTACAGTTGACTGGATTGAGTCAAGAATGCGGGCTCGCCGAAGTAGTCCAGTTTGAAAAGAGTGGAGCCACCTTCAACCTGCGTTTGAACCAGAGTTGGCGGATGAACCTATAGAAACAAAATCAACATTCTCTGGTGACCTACATTCGCGTATAAGAGTTAAACCCATGTAAGAAGGTGGTACACACCTCACATCTACGCCTAGTAAGTGATAGGGTAAGTCTCAGACTGAGGATAACCATCACACCTTGACAGCATCGTGAAATGGCGATCGTGCACAACACCAATCTCATCGGCCGTTTGCATAGCTGTCGTAACCTCATTCGATTCGCATTCCACACCTCTCATCACCATCATTATCGTCGTCGCCCAAAGCTCACGCAATACTCGCGAGTTCTACGGCTCCTATCTCCCAGAAGTCCTAACTCTAGAGTGAACACCAAACATCACCAGTGGAGGCAATCTGTCCGTCCTGCAATTCATTCAATGGACAAGATCTCATTCGGACACACCACCTCCAAACGCCGTCTTCCCAGCGAGATTTACAGAAATAGATTGGACAACAACACAACTTTCAAAGTAGTAAGACAACAAGGAAACTATTCCCACAGACACCACAACATTTAATCGGCTAACACACCGCAAACAGGTGTCATCCTGCATCCCACAACTTTCATTATTCCGGTCGCGATTGAAGCCAATAGATCTCAGTGACTAAGCCACGACTTGGCCGAGTCAATATAAAATGTTGACAACATTGGACACTAATACAAGGATAAAATTGGACCCAACTATAGCTCTACGGCCGCCGTTACCAACAGTACATTCATGACATCGTCAACAACTCACTTCAGTAAAACCGCGATCCGCATAGTGCTCCCTGAATGCCTCGGCAATAACAGCCGTGAGCTTTATTATTTTCGATGTGTTCATTCCTCGGATAATGAAATGGCGTTGGTCCAGCTGCAAGTCGACCTCTGACTCCTCAGTCACGACCGACTCAACACCACCGGCCGGCGCCCGACCAATACACTCCCAATAATCAACTTGGAGCTCAATCCCACCAGGGGCCTTCTGACCTTCGGGTACTTTGCAGACAGTGCCTTTTACGAAGAGGGAGGACTCAGTGGAGAGGGCCAAGCCATCCTCCGTCTGTGGGAGATCGCCAGTGAGGAGACACTGCAGGAAGCCAGTGCCATCGCGCAGGATGATAAACATCATCTTCTTGCTCTGACGTCGGATAT